TTTTATTGCTGTTGACCTGTTTATGTTAATTGTTGTGCTTTAACTGTTTCTTTGTCAGTATCTAATGACTGCCAATTGTAAGCTGTCCTGAGTCCCCCTTCGGGGGTTGAGAAGGTCAGGATACAAATGCTCCAAATAATAAATAAATACTAATAAATGTTTTACCATCCTTGTGGGAGGCTTCTCTCATGTCCCCGCAAGGGAAGCTAGAGCTGACAGAGGGAGCTCAACCCACTCTTCCAGGATTCTAATCTCCGACCTGTCTGTCATTAGTCCTGCCAGCACAAGGATTTAACCCATTGCGCCACCGGGGACTCCAAACTACTGGCTGAGCTCAAGCTAATAGTGGCTCAACATACTTACTGGGCTCTCAGTTTCTCCTTTGTTGCAGGTCCAGCAGACACTGCTGAAACATGGAGAGCAGACATGGGCAAATTTTGGCCTTCCAGGTGTTTTGGACTTCAACTCCCATAATTCCTAACAGCCGCTAAACTGGCTGGGATTTCTGGGAGTTGAAGTCCAAAACACCTGAAGAGTCGAAGTTTACCCATGCATGATGTAGAAGGAGGTGTGCGGAGAGAGGGAGTTGCTTTAGAAACAAACAGACAAATAAACACATAGGTTGAATCCATGCCGGCAAAATTATTCATCTTCACCTTGATCTTGGTCCTCTTTGAACACAAGGCATTCATCTGGTTTCAAAATCAAAGCACTTCTTTTAGATTCCTGGGAGCTTTAACAGGATTTTTTTTAAAAATCTTTTTATTCTTCAGTTTCTATGAAAAAACATTTTTGACATCATGTTTCCTGAACCCAAATTAGAACGGTAGAATCAGGGGGCAGGATAGATGTATTAAAGTCAATAGGATTTCAATTCCAAATTCTAGTAAATATTTCTTGGATCACGTCATACTTTTTAAACATATTTATATATTAAATGGATATATTCGGATAACCATGTATTTGAATATACAAAGGTCTGAGATTCTCTACTCGCTGGGGTGTACGTGTTTTTATTGAGTATGTATTGTTTTATTACATTTTATTTATAATAATGATGATGAAAACAAGCACAATTTAAAAACGTTATTTTTAGACTTCCCTCTCTTCCCAAAGGGACTCAGGGCAGTTTACACACACAAAAGGCAAAGAAGGAATGCCTCAGATGAGTACTAACACATAAAAAATACATGGTAAAGCACAGTAATAACAATGAACTTACAATGAAGAATTAAACATTGAAATAAAAAATATAAAAGAACAATCCAATAAGACCTAGTAGACTAAAACATGTGTAAGCATTGCAACATATACCATAAAAGCAATTAAGATACAGTTACATTAAAAATGGCCGGTGCTGGTGTTCATTTAAGATATATCATGGCAGCCATATAATACAAGTGGGAGTAGCCATCATTCCAGTGGGTTAAAGGGTCCTCCTCCTCTCCAGATGCTAAAGTGCATAGGTGCATTTTCAGAAGCTTCTCAAAGGAGATGAGGGTGGGAGCCATTTTTATTTCTTTAGAGAAGTTCTAGAGATGGGGAGCGATCCGGAAGAAGACCCCCTCCCTCATTCCCACCAACCAAGCTTGTGACAGGGGTGGGACCAAGAGGAGGACATCCTCTGTTGACTGCAGTACACTGGATTTTCTGTATAAGGAGATGCAATTTGACAAATAGCCAAACTTGTAATCCCTCCACATTTGAGGAGGTTAGGACCACAAGATAGCCACAAAACAGGTAAAACCACTAAAAGCTAGCAGATTGTTTTCCCCTGCCCCTGCTTCTGTCCTGTGCCATTTTTAATAAAACGACACAGGTTTCCATCATCACATGTGCTCTGTTACATTCGGTTTAGTCAATGGTCAAATTTTGGTTGCTGGGAGGAAATCAAACTGGCAGGATGGCTGACCTGACCACATTCACATTCCCTCCCTCACATACTCAGGGAAAGGAGGAAGGATATATGGGTCTGTGGGATGGACAGAAAGACCAGAAGGTGGGGTGTGTGGGAGAGAACCATCATCACCGCAGCAGCTGCCCCATTCCCTTCCTCTTGCAGCGTTGGACTCAATGTGTCTGGGCTAAATAGGGGCTTATACAGTCTGAGTAAAGACTGGTTTTGCCAAAGGAACTGTCATCACAGCAGTCACTGAAACCCCTTCCCGCTGCCCTTGCCCGTCTCCTGTTGCCACCACTGCCTTCATCGTTCTTTCCCACCCAACCCAGCTCTTTCCTTGTCTTTTCTTCCTGTCCTGCTCCCTTGGTCTGCTATAGAGACCCATGCACCACCCATTCTTCTTCCTCTTGCACCCTAATCCCATCCCTTTCATCTCATAAACAGACAGAGAGGTCATGGTTATATTAAAGAGGGAAAACAGAACAGCGGAAAGGGAGTCATGTGTATGCTATCTAGTGGGCGTGCAGGTGGCTACTAAGTCTAATGAGAAAACAAGAAAGGCTATTATGGATGGATAATGGATATACCATATTTCATCACAATAGTCAGACATTTCCCCCCTTTAAAAAAAAGGGGGGGTGACTATTACCACAAGGAAAAAAATCTGCCTTTATTCTCGTTTTCGTTGTTGTTAAATAAAATGCCTTGCCAGCTTCAAACAAACAGCTCTGTTTCTCTTTGTTTGTTTTTTAAACTGCAGAGCCGTTTGGGGCTGACTTCTCTCTTCTTTCCTTCTTTCTCCAAAGAAAAGACACTTTAAAAACTATACAGTGCAGTTCTCTGAAGCTCCATTGTTTTCTTCTTTCTCCTTCTTCCAAGGAAATGCAATTTCAAAAATCTGAAATGGAGGTCTCTGGAACTCATCCTTCCTTCCTCCTTTCTCCAAAGAATTCCATTCCAGGTTTTGTAAACTGCCTTGCCTCAGAAGAAGGAGGGAGGAGAGAAGAGTGGAGCTTCTGATACCTTCATTTTCTAGTTTTTAACTGCCTTTCCTTCTGAGAAAGAAGGAAAGAAGGGAAAATCAGTCCAAAATACGGATGCAACTATTATGCGAGGAAAAGGGGCGGGCTATTATGCAGTGGTGACTATTATGCAATCAAATTCTCTCTATATATATATATATGTGTGTGTGTGTGTGTAGTATTATATCTTGTGTATATATACACACTGAGAGACACGCTGGTTGTACGATCTAAACTAATTCAAGACAGTGAACATCCAGATATGACAGAAGTGCCCTTTTGTTCCTCTGTGACTTCACAGTGGGGAAACTGTGTGGCTTTCAAGACCAATTTGAGTTTGTATTACAACAGGTGAATGTGACATCAATGGGCTCAAACCAGAGCAGGATATGGTGCACTGGAGTTGGGATATAGCCCTTGTGTGGGTTTAACCATAATTAGCAAAATAATTCAGCAGGTCGGTCCTGGGGCCTATGCCTGCACGCCTGCATTTTATGGTGGACTTGACAAAGTATTGAATTGTCAGCTATGCCTCAGAATCTACCCCTTGGGGGCATTTTCCTTTCATGCACTAAACGGTGCTGTAAGTGGGATGGTAATTGTTTGTGTTGTCTCTGTGATTGCCAAGGCTCAAAGGCTGCCTCTTCCAATCTGTCTTTCAATGTGTTTCTTAATCTTTCCAGCTGCAGAACAACACATCAGCTGGGGTGGCGGTGGCAGTGGAGCTAATTCTGACCTTCCTCCTGGTCCTCTGCGTCTTTGCCTCGACTGACAGCCGCCGAACTGATAAAGTGGGCTCTCCAGCACTATCTATCGGTCTGTCAGTCACAGCTGGCCATTTATTAGGGGTGAGTATTGTTATGCCACCAATGCAAAAATGGTGGCATGGTGGGTGGGCTTGGTCTGGGAGGGATGGGCACCAAGTATATTCTTTTCCATTATCTTCCATTCAAGGATGTTAGAGCCACCAGGGATGATATGTTCTGACCAATCCAGGAAACCATGGAAACTCACTGGGTGTCCTTGTGCAAATGACACAGTCTGCCTCAGAGGAAGACAATTAGAAACATCCCCGGACAAACATTGCCCCCAAAAACCCACACATGATAAAGTTGACATAAGTCTGCTCTGACATCAAGGCATGTAACAGACACACAAACAGGCTAGCAGTTGGTTTGGACAATAACTCCCACAGTCCCTTGCACTAAGCCATACTAGCTGAGTCTCCTGGGAACTCCAAAAATCCCCAGATGAAACAAATATTTCTCATACCTGCCATGCAAAGTTATTCAGTCAAATAGTTTTGCCTCCTGTTTTCATGGAGGACTTATTCGCACATGAACCCACCACCCAACTTCATTATATGTGAATGTGAGAAGTAAGCTGGTGCTTTACTACATATGCTAATGTAATGGTCTGTAACCATGTACAGATAACACACATACACACAAGACTATCGGTAAGTGTGAATCCCTGCAAGAGTTACAAAAGGAAAGAGAAACCCATTTCATGCACTCAGAAGAAAAGAGAATGAGAATGAATACACATGAAACCTGAAGCTTTTTGCTCTTGTGACTATTATTCACCTTCCAGGGCCAGCCTAGCCATGGTGGTTGGTGGATTCTTGTAAATTTAGTCCAAAAACCTTCATTTTATTAAGCTCTGCATTTATCCCTGTTTTTTTAACTTTCAGATCTATTTCACTGGCTGCTCCATGAATCCGGCACGGTCTTTTGGTCCAGCTGTCATCATGAGAAACTTTCAGCATCACTGGGTGAGAGGATCTTTTCCATCTGACACAGCTGGAATGCAGTTCTCAAAAGAATTTTGCAATGCGCAGAAATCATTTCCTGTTAATGTGGGGAAGGGGAAGCCTTATTGTTCTTGTGGTAGATATGGGCTGGATACACCCAATCAGTAGTTGTACTTCCCCTGCTTCCCCTTCATGCTTGTGCTTCTCCTTCACCTCACAGTACAGTGAGCCATCTTTAAGAGCTGGTCAACCTGCAGCTAGCTGTACTTCCGAAGACCTAAAAGAGCAACTGGAATAGCCTGGAATTGCTACCAAAATGGTGCAACTCCACCCAGTATCAAACTGGGTGTTAGATTGGATTTATTGGTGTGCACCTTCAAGTTGTTTCCCATTTATGGAGCTTTCTTGTCAAAATCTGTACAAAAAGAAGTTTTCCTTGCTTTCCTCTGAGGCTGGGGGCATATGTCTTGCCCAAGGTCACCCAATGGGTTAAACCCTTGTGCCAGCAGGACTGCTGACCTGTGCCATCAGGTCAGCGGTTCAAATCCAAGGAGCAGGATGAGTGCCCATCTGTCAGCTCCAGCTTCCCATGCGGAGACATGAAAGAAGCCTCCCACAGGATGGTAACACACCAGGGCATCCCCTGGACGTCTTGCAGATGGCCAATTCTCTCACACCAGAAACAACTTGCAGTTTCTCAAGTCACTCCTGACACAAGAGGAAAAAACCCAGTGGTTTCCATGGTCAAGCAGGGATTTGAACCCTGGTCTCCAGAATCTAGTTTATTTCTTAAACTGCAGCACCACATTAGACTACAGTTCATTTCATTCCTTCTTATTTTAATATTCTGGCTGAGGCCTCAAAGAACTGAAGCCCAAAACCTCCAGAAGGTCATTTTCCTGTTGCTGTTTTGAGGAAGGAAAAAGCATTTATCTCCACTATTTGAAGTTCCCAATCTCAATTAGATTTCTAAGATGTTTAGAAAATGGATACAGAGCATGGAACATTTCTTTTTGGGTGGTTACAGCTCCCAGAATGAAAATGTTGGCTTTGGGAATCTGGGAATATCCCCCTCCCACTCAGAAGAGCATTTCTCAGCTCTGGCTGAAGAGAGAGAGAGAGAAAAGAGTAGCTGCCTTGGTGTTAGCACCTGGCATATAGATGGATGACTGATGCATTAATTACAGGTATACAAACAAGACTCAATTCTTGCTGGGCTGTGTCTTAATTAAAATCAGTGGCTTATGAAGCACGAGTCTTGATAGTGATATATGAGCCATGGACTTATCTCAGGGCCAGTTTATTCAAGCTGTTATCCTGGGATAATCATTCCTGAACTTGTGTCAACCTCTCGTTTGCTTACATGTTAAAGTGATGAATGAGAAGCTGAGGTAAGGCGAAAGAAAGTTGGCCGACTCTGGCAAAGTTCAGGGACTTTGCTCACCTCTCCTCTTTCTAAGCCTGAGATAAGACACAGCAGCAGCAACAGCAGAGTTGCCATTGACTAGAAACATTGGGATTTGTGAATGACCCTGGGGGGCACTAAAGGAATGAGGGATGGAGTAGTTGAAACCTTCTGGAATTTCTTGTGCTGGCAAATAAAGTTATTGTCTCAGGGTAACAGCCCCAAGGTAAGGACTTGTGAATTATCTCAGTGCATATCAGCAAGTTCTCTATAGAGTAAGTGATGACTATGGTCCTCATGTTAGTATGGTTTTAAAAAATGGATTCTGATGTTTAGTCCAGACATTTGGGAATAGAATTGAGCACATCAGGCAGATTAGTTTAAAGTCCCAACTAAAATTGCAAATGGATTCAGCACCCACAGGCATACCCTCAGCCTTTACCCTATAAGGCAGTGATTCTCAACCTGTAGGTCCCCAGATGTTTTGGCCTACAACTCCTTGAAATCCCAGCCAGTTTACCAGCTTTTAGGATTTTGGGGAGTTGTAGGCCAATACATCTGGGGCCCACAGGTTGAGAACCACTGCTATAAGGTTTATCCAGTGCCAACCCAACACTTTTTGCTGCCAGAAGTGCATCAACAAATGGCATCCCCTCCACCACCACTTAACCCCCGCTTCAAATCAAGACGCCTAGAACATAAGGTGATTTTGGCCTATGAGGCAAAAAAAGCACCCGCCCTTCTCTCTGGCAACAAATATTCAATAGTAACAAATTAAAAAGACAGTTTGCTCTCTTTTCATGGCACACCAAACCTACTGCTTGTGCTAGAGTAGCTTCATTCTGCCAGATGGTAGATCCTTCCCCAAATATACATGTGCTGGCTTGAGTTTGGTGTCAGGTTCTTCACCCTGTTTATCTCCATTGCGGTGAAGTTGTGAGGCTCTGATTTTGGGGAGTAGTGATAAGCCACCACAACAAAATAATATATTGTCATATAGGCTCCCACAGTCCACTGAAAAGTGAATTATATTCATACTGCCATATACTGGTGTGAAATTTATTTATTTATTTATTTAAACATTTCTATTCCACCCTTCTCACCCCAAAGGGGACTCAGGGTGTAGTACAGCATATATACGGTAAACATTCAATGCCAGGACAAGCATTGAATGTTTACGTATGCATAATGTTTATGCATACATAAACATTAAAAACATTTATCTCATAATTAAAACACACTGAAATGTGTAACCTTGTTGCCTTCCATCTGAACATGATTGGCATTTGTCCAACTGCTGACGGTAAAAAATTTGTGCTTTTTGAACTACAACTTCCAGAATTCTAACAGCTCACTGGCTGGGTTGGGGGGAGGGTTAATTGCTGTCCCAAGAAATCATTTCACCAAGATCTAATAAAGAAGATGTTGGTTGAACATTAGAAGGAATGTCTTGATAGTAGGAGTAATTGTGCAATGGGACCAATTGTCTAGAGTGGAGTTTCTCAAACTGTGCTCCTCCAGATGTTTGGACTTCAGCTCCCACAATTCCTAACAGCTGTTAAGTGGCTGGGATTTCTGGGAGCTGAAGTCAAAAACACCTGGAGGAGCAGAGTTTGAGAAACACTGGTCTAGAGAGATGGTAGGTCTTCTTCTCTGGAAAGATGATGGACAGCTACCTTCTGGGTCTACTTTAGCTGGAGATCCTGGACTCAATGACCTATGAGCTCCCTTCCAACACTATGATTCTAGGACTCTAGGATTACATTTGGTGGTAAGTGGTAGTAAGACATTTTGGCTCTTTATTCCAGTCCTTTAAGAGAGGTAGAAACAAACATACCACACATTTCCCATGAAGAGGAATGTTATTTGTACGCACCTGATGGGGCTTCCCATTTTTTTCTTTCCACTTCTCCAGGTGTTCTGGGTGGGACCTTTGGCAGGAGGCATCTTGGCTTCTCTGATCTACAATGTCATCCTTTTTCCTGATACCAGAAGCCTTGCTGAGAGGATTTGTGTCCTAAAAGGGACCTACAATCGTAAAGCTGAGCATGAGGAGAGGAAGGACCGGAGATGCTCAATAGAACTGGTGCACAAGTTCTAATGGCCATGAAGTGGACAAAGAGGGGCTTGTTGCATGGCAACACCCTCCAAAAGAAAAACCATACTCCCATCATCCCAGTTCCACTCTTTCACATTCTCCACGGCCTCTACAATAAGGCTTTGAGTTGGTATCAAAATCAGAAATCAAATATGGTGATGTGTATCTCAAGGGGATGGAGGAGAAGAATGGGAATCTTGGCTTATATCGGGGGCATCAGAGCAGAAAGGGTATATGCTGTTCGTAAGCTGCCCAGCTATCAATGATTTGAAGGTGAAGGATAGCCTATGAGTTAAAACCAACTCATCTCTTCAGTGGGGCTTCAAGTACTCCAAGTGGAATAGCGCTTGGTCAGTATGAAATCCTGTGACATTAAACAGGCAGGAAATCTGTGGTCCTTCAAATGTTACGAGGTTACAGCTTCCTCTGACTGCTGTCTGGACTGAAACATATTGGAGCTCAACAACATCTGGCAAGCCACAGGTACTTCATGTAATATTCCCTTGGAAGCAACCTTGAGGTGCTCACTTAGTTGTACAATTTCCTTTGTCACTTTCCTCTGATAATTGCTGTCTTCTCACTGAAACAGCCATTTCAAATACAAGACAAAAGCTTTTCTCCGCACCTTCACTGCTTTCCTCAAGGACACAGTTACAGCACCAGCCAAGACTTACCTTGTCTGGACTACAGCATCTCACCGGACATTTCTATCCTCACAACCCATTTCTTGGCTATGTTTCTATCCTGTATTTAATGTACAGACTGTATACATTTGGGGGAGGGTAGCTCGGAGAGAGGTCCGATGTTCTGTGTAGTGCCCAGATCACAGGTAGTGGTATGTTAAAATAATGGTGAATAATAAAAGAACAGAAGTAACAGCCGAATACTAGCCACTCAGGGAAGACAGGTGGAGTAGACATGCTAAGTAAGCCCAAATTGTAAAATATATTCCTAGCACTGGGCTTCTCCGGTCTGAGGGGAAGCTGAGCCAGTGGTGCAGAGAAATGCCATTCAATTAGAGATACTCTGCCTGTAGGGTAGCTATGAGGTCGGGAGTGCCTTCCACAGATGCTTTCCACTGAGACTGGAATGGTTTTCTCCTGAAATCACATATTCAGGGAGGGGAGGGATCCCAATCCCTTTGCTCAAATTCTTTGCCTGGGGCAGTTGTATATAGCAGTGTATTCAGGTGTGGAAAAAGAGGACGGTTCCCTGTCACTGGTACACATCTAGGGGCTGTGTTGAGGAAGCAGGACCACCGGGGCCTCTGATTTTTCACAGATCAAAACCAGTAGACATGTGGCAGCAAGGCAATATTGGAGTGTGGCCAAGATGGCAAAAGTTACCCTAGAGGAAGAACACACAAGCTAAGAAAGACAGCATTAGTTTGATTTTGCCTAAGTCTATTGGGAAGGGAAATCATACTCAGCCATGAGTGATTGCCTATGATGTACAAATGACTAGGAAGGGCAAGTTCCCATCCCTTCCTTTCCTTTCAACTGAGTTAAAGTAAAGGTAAAGGTTTCCCCTGACATTGACTAGTTGTGTCCACCTCTGATAGGTGGTATCCATTTCTATTTCTAAGTCAAAGAGCTGGTCTTGTCCGTAGACACCTTCAAGGTCATGTGGCTGACATGACTACATGGAGAGCCATTATTTTCCTGCCAAAGCAGTACCTATTGATCTACTCACATTTGCATGTTTTCGAACTGCTATGTCGGCAGTAGTTGGGCCTATCACTCCCCCTATCACTACCACTCCCCAGATTCAAACCACTAACTTTTCGGTCAGCAAGTTCAGCAATTCAGTGGTTTAATCCACTGCTCCACTAGAGGGGCAGCCTAGTTAATTAAGTGCAAATTACTTTGGCACTTTGAAATCATTTTGCAGCAAAATAAATAAAATGAGGGCAAGGAAGGAAAATAGGAGAATAAGAGAAAAACTGGGACATTTTTTTAAAAAGCTTTAAAGGTGGGGTGGCAGAGGATTAATCAGAACAGTTGCAGCAAAATTTGGAAACTTGGAGGGTAGGAGCCATGTGAACCTCTTCTCCCTCACGGGCCTTTGAAAGTCCAGTTCGTTGTTTTTTTAATTGTGTCAGAAGTGAATTTCCTGTCTGCAAGGATGTTGCAGATCTTCAGTTCAGCAGTTTAGCCGACACAAGGGTTTAACCCATTGCGCCACCATGGCTCTATAAAGTCAAAGCAAATAGGTTTAGAATGGTTTACTGGTAGATTTTAAAATACAGGTATTCATACTAACTTCCCATATCAGCAGTTTCCAAGAACAAAGCACTCAAAACAGTTTCCGGGAACAGCACTTTGGTAATGCTAACAGATCTTAATTGTACATTTAAGACCAATCCACCCCAAAGTACTTTATGTTTCAACAGGGACAGTTCACAAAAATATATTGTTCCTGGCAAACAGCCCTATCTAATGTGCGTATTGGAGCTAAGCTTGGAAGGAACAGGGAAGCTAGCAGGGTGAGGCAAATCATATCATCGTCCTTGTGAAGCCAAACATTGCAGCTCTTCAACCCCGTGTGCTCTGGCTTCATTTTGCCATTGCAGATTTCTGCTTATGTTTGGGATGAAAGATGTATTATTGTAAAAGGTGGGCCAACTAGTTTAATAACAAAAGCGCATATTCACTGGAGCTGCACAAAATTAGAAACCCATCGGCATGCCACGACACCCTCTGGATGCAGAGAGAGGGCAGAGGTGCACGCCAGTCAGGCAAAAGTCCATTTCCTTAATCATTCGAAGGAAATGGCCTGTCATTTTTTGTAACATGAACTAAACTGAGAAGACAGCGGGTGAATTTGTATCCAGAGATAAACGTCTGGAGTCAGAACATGGCTGGGTCCCTGGGTCCATTCATGCTGTCAACGGGGGCAAATGAAATTTCACTTCCAAGTGAAACCTGACTCAATGGGATGCCAGCATCGTAAGAAAAGAGAAATCTATGAAGCGGGGGCGGAAGATTAGGCTGCCAAGTGAGACAGATCAAAGAATAAACGCTAGTGTTTGGTCAGTGTCAAAAGCAAAACATGCTGCCTAGATTGACATCGATTGTATGGATTTTAGGAAGGGCTATCTTTGTGTTTCAGGACTACACTGAATCATATCTAGAGGGATAATTTGCCTTTGTGGTAGAAGAAACCAATATTCTGTCATAATAAGGCCGTCCCCATTTGATCCTGGAGGTGAAAAGATTGGAAATAGCTATAAAGCCGCCTGTCTATTACAGGGAACAATGGCATCGAGGGAAGTCACAACTCTTGCAGAAAACTCACAATTCATAATTTGGCCCCCACAATGGAAATCGTTTGCAGTGTGATTGTGTGTTGATTTGGGGGATGATAGCAGTGGCTCCTAGTTGGTGTCCGCAGGTAGGGAGATGGAGCGAAAGAGGGAGAAGCGGGGAAGGAGAGAGAGAGAAAATACATGCACAAAAGAGACAAACAGCAGTTAGAAAACGATGCATTTGCTTTATTGGCTTGTCTGGCCTCTTGCACATGAACTGTGGCTCCTCAAGCATTTGATTCTCAGGAAAGATCAGCGAGCACACATCCGCTTTCAAGTGGCACGAACCAAGCTTTTACCATTCGAGAATCCTCATAGCGACTATTGAGGAAAATTTGAAGGGCAAGTAAACAAATGGATTTCACCACTAATGGCATATTTAATAAACCAGTGCACAACTGGGGTGCAAATGCTGCTGGATAAAGTGAATCAACATGTTATGAAGCAACAGACTTCAATTGACTGAAGGGAATTTAAGCACTCTTATACAAAACCCACTAATGGTCCATGAACTGCTGCAATATCCATTACTTGGACCATAGGCACCTCTGGGTATTTGGAGGGACAGGTAGATGAAACCAAAACTGAGGAAAAGCTCATTGACTCTTAGCACTTATTTTCCTGGAGCCCCATATGAACAGGTTCTTCCAAAAACAGCTTTTGACAGTTAAGTTTTCTGGAGAACAAAAAACACACGGATACACCACCCGCAGCCACCCTGGTGATTGTAGGGATTGTAGGATCCTTACTGTAACTTGCCTACTTTCTGCTGCATCCTTTTTTTGAAACATTGTATCCTAGTGAAACAGCCACTTTTGTGATTATTAGGGAGTAAGCAGACCAGGCTGCCGCATTTATCTTCCTGGCTTTATGGAGACTTCCTGAAACATGGAAATGAAGGCATTTTTCACCACTTGCCACCAGGCCTTTAATGGGTCTTCATTTGTGTGTGAAAAAACTACAACCCATTAAGGCCCAGAAGAAGGAGACCATCATAATACCACTTTTTTTTTGGTCGTGCCAGGAGTAACTTGAGAAACTGCAAGTCGTTTCTGGTGTGAGAGAATTGGCCATCTGCAAGGACATTGCCCAGGGGATGCCCAGATGTTGTGATGTTTTAACATCCTTGTGGGAGGCTTCTCTCATGTCCCCGCATGAAGAGCTGGAGCTGATAGAGGGAGCTCATCTGCGCTTTCGCCGGATTTGAACCTGCGATCTTCAGTCCTGCCGGCACACGGGTTTAACCCACTGCGCCACCAGGGGCTCCTGCCTTGCTATGATATAGGACAGTGTTTCTCAATCTGGGGGTTGGGACCCCTGGGGGGGGGTGGCAAGGGGGTGAGGATGTCCAAAGACCACCAGAAAACACAGTATTTTCTGTTGGTCATGGGGGTTTGACCAATTCTATCATTGGTGGGGTTCAGAATGCTCTTTGATTGTAGGTGAACTATAAATCCCAGCAACTACAACTCCCAAATGTCAAGTCTATTTTCCCAAACTCCACCAGTGTTCACATTGGGCATATTGAGTATTCGTGCCAAGTTTGGTCCAGATCCATCATTGTTTGAGTTCACAGTGTTTTCGGGGTGTAGGTGAACTACAACTCGAAAACTCAAGGCCAATGCCCACCAAACCCTGTCATAGGAGTTCTGTGTACCAAGATTGGTTCAATTCCATCATAGGTGGAGTTCAGAGTGCTCTTTGATTGTAGGTTAACTATATATCCCAGCAACTACAACTCCCAAATGACAAAATCGTCCCTCAACCCCACCAATATTCACATTTTGGTGTATTGGGTATTTGTGCCAAATTGGGTCCAGTAAATGAAAATGCATCCTGCCTATTGGATATTAATTTTACAATTTATAACAGTAGCAAAATCAGAGTTATGAAGTAGCAATGAAAATAATGTTATGGTTGGGGGTCACCACAACATAAGGAACTGTATTAAAGGGTCATGGCATTAGGAAGGTTGAGAAACACTGATATGGGGTGTATGGTTGTGATGGATTCACACTGTGCTGCATCCGTGGGATCTGCTTGGTAGAAGGATTGTCTTGACTTATTGTGGCTGCATGTGACACATTCATCGACAGTCCAGCTTCAAGTCTGGCAAACTCAGAGCAGCCATGGATCCCTCGTCCAAATCAATTAGTGTGTAGTGTAGTCTCCTCCATTTCCCATTGCTTTCCACTTTATCAAGTATTATCATCTTGCTCACTGAGTTATGCCATCTCACAATACCTCCAAGGTAGGACAGTCCCCATTTAATTATCTTGGCTAGCTATGCCCTTACTCTAATCTGTTTATTTGAGCGATGTCCCAACTGCTGAGCTGTCCTCTCCGCTCTGCTTTTGTTTCCTCTATTAAGAAACCAGGCATCCCATTGTGGATGCCACTAAGCAGGACAGGAGAGCAACAGTATCTTCCCGCTTGTGTTTTCCACTTGAAAGGCACATTATGATAAATAACTACCATGACTATTGTCACTGATCGCCCCTGGATCAGCAGGACCTCAATACCATAAAGGTGCTAGAGCCCATCTGATTTTAGAAGCTAAATGGCATTAGCTCTTGTTAGTTTTTGAATGGGAGACTGCCAAAAAATATCAGGCATTGTGGGGCATATTGGAACTGGCAAAACAACCCCTTTGTATTCCTTGCTTATACACATCTTGGGTTCACCAGTAGTAAACAGGGTATTTGACGGTACACACGTACATTAGGGATTAGGAAGAGGGTTGGGAATAATGGGATTCCTCAGAGGTTGTTGAACTGACATCACAGCAGTACTTCTCATTGGCTTTGGTGCTGCATCTGGGTGACATATGTAGGGCTACATAATTCTGACCCTGAACTAGAAGTCTGGCATTCCAGTCTAGTACTTATATGCAATATACATGGGTGGACAAAGTGTGAACCCTGGGCTGCATGTGGCTCTCCTTGCTCAGGGCAAAATAATGGTAGTACTGGTTTGCTCCAAAATGCCCCCAAACGCACTCTTGGGGGGGGGGGGGCATGAAAAGCATTCAGTATTTGCAAAAAAAACAAAAAACAAAATATTTTTGCTCTGAAATACCTCAAAATGTCCTCCGGGGGAAGCATAGATTCCACCATTTTTTGCATAATTCCCCCATGTCCTATTTAAATGGGGAGCCCATTTTTCATTTTGGGCCAAAACTGGCTCAGGAAGACCACAAAATGTTGAAAAATATTCTTACCCTTAGAGAGCATTTTGGGGCAATATTTTGATTTTCTTTTGTAGGCGGAGGTACAATGGAGTGGTGCAGCTCTTCAGGATCTCCTGGAGCAGCAGTTCTCAAGTGTGCTCCGTGGAGCCCTTGGGACTCTGTGAAGCATACTGTGGGGCTCTGCATCACCTAGATATTGCCTAAGCCCTGCAATTGTAGTGGCCCCGTTACACCAGTGGCAAACTGGTAACTCAGCACTTACACAATTATACATTTATATACTTCCCCCTTCATTTGGTGTAGGCCTGCAAGTAGAGAACATCCCTGAGCACTTGGTGGCCTTTGGAGAGTCATTTCTTTTAGGTTTAATTCACCTCAGAGAGTTATTATGGGGATAAAATGGCAATGGGGGGAACCAAGGATGACAGATTACCTCCTCAAAAGAAGAGCAAAAGAGTAATCTAGCTATCCTATAAAAGGAAATGTCAGAGGGACATCATTACAGTATGTTCAGGGATAAGAACATCAGAAGAGTCCTGCTGGGTTAGACTAAAGGCCTGGATTAGACCAACCCCAGTGAGACGCTCCAAAGCCAGGCAGGAAGGCAACAGTACTCTCTAAATTATGTCCTTCAACAATTGCTCTTGAGCAATATATAGCCTCTATTATGGGAGGGAACATAGATATAATAATGACTAAAAATCCTGGATAACCATATCTCTATGAATTTATCCAACCTTTTTAAATGTTGGCAGCCATCCCCACTACTTGTGTTCATGAGTTTCACAGTTCAAATTGCCAATGTGAGAAGAGGGCATTTTTATTACTCCTGAATCTCCTATCAGTAAGTTACTGTGTGTGAGAGAATGGTCAAATGTGTAGCTGTATCGCACATTGCAGTTTTTTGAGTTTCCCCTTCACATTCTACAACCCCCACTGGCTGTTGGTTCCCATTGAAGCAGTGGGATTTATCTATAAGGAGCCCCCGGTGGTGCAATGAGTTAAACCCTTGTGCCAGCAGGACTGCTGACCGAAAGGTCATAGATTCAAATCTGCGGAGCAGGGTGAGCTCCCATCTGTCAGCTCCAGATTCTCATTCAGGGACATGAGAGAAATCTCCCACAGGATGGTAAAACATCCAGACATCCTCTGTGCAACGTCCCTGCAGATGGCCAATTCTCTCACACCAGAAGCGATTTGCAGTTTCTAAAGTTGTTCTTGACATGAAAAAAATCCAATCTATAAGACTCACTTTTGCCATCAATCATTGATTCAGTGTTTCTCCTCCAGTTGGGAACAGTATTGGGCCACTGAGATCTATTCATACAGCCCCATGTTTCTGGGTCCCATTTCTTATTGTGATGAGGGACTTAAATGTCCTCCAAGAAGAGGTTTTGCATTAACCCTACTGCATCATGATCAAGTCATTATTCTGTGCTACTGACCTCTAGCCACCATACTGCAGAATCAAATATGTGTTCCTGCATGGCAGGGGATTGGACTAGATTGGCTTCATGATTTCCCCAAAGTCTTTAGTGACACCTTACACATTTGCCAAGAATCCAGGAAGAAGTTGTCAGCAGAAGTACACTCAAATGACTTCAGGAAGGAGAAAGAAACCTGCGGCCTTCCAAAGATCATAGGATTGCTATTCTCATCGGCACTAGCCATCATTGTAGGGAAGAGATGATGGGAAATGTGTCCGAGGACATCTACAGGGCCTGGCATTCCCTATCCCTGTATCTGTCAAGGAGTGGTCTGTGGGAGTTGTTCTTCTGGGCTACAAACAAGCCACATCTGGCACAGGAATGGGCAACCAGCCCAATGGTCAAGTAATGATGGGTCAAGACAGCTTGAGAAGGGCAATAGTTCCTTATCCTTGACCTACGGATTCGAAGATCTCCCTGCCTCTTGGATAGACACAGTCCTTGCACAATCATCAAAGAGACATGCTTTGGAACTGTAATGAGGAACAGACTTCCATGGAGTGCTGGCAGTGATACCACTTTATGCAAAACAATACAAAAAAAAATCATAACCCAGGATCACACACAAACAACCCCACTTGCTTCATGATAAAACGAGGAACAAAAGCTGGTGATATATTGGGTGTGAGGTTGCAGTGGTAAATCAAAAGACAGCTTTAATCTTTAAGAGAATCAACAGATACTCACGGCTTTAAATATTTACATTTAACCTTGGCTCAGTTACGTCTCCTCCGAAAAGTGCATAAGATACCACAGATCTGTACAGTGTCTCTGAGCTCCCTTGACCTTATGGTGCCCATGTATCATCTCCCCACTATCTGGCATTCTTAGTGCGAAAAGATCCTCTTTTTTAGCAAAATTGGAACTAGGTAATAGAAATGCATCTAAGATGCAGATGCGCCACTCCAGGCTGTAGACTTCAGAAAAAAAGGCACCTGGGGCCCTCCAGTGGCCAGTTGCAGAATAACCTGGTTTAGTGTGGCTGAGCTCTTCCTTCAAAATGGAAGAAGATATTTCTGTATCTATGTGTCTGCTCTCTTCTCAAGACACTAGCAGACTATAGTCTATGTACAAGGCTGAGGCTGGGTAAAGATATGGATTCTTTCGGCCGCTCGGTCTTGTTCTCTAGCTCTTCTCCATCATAGCTGCCCTTGAGAATAGCCAGTCGTTGGGACAAAGTCTTTGGGTCATGGTAAAGAACAAAGTTGTAAAGCAGTGATGCCAGGACAGCCCCAGCCAAGGGACCCACCCAGAATATCTGCAAAGAGAAAGAGAGAGTGTGTGAGACAATAATAGTTGCTGTATTTGGATGTCTGCAGGAAGCTGCATCCCATTTACTGGAAATCAAAGCATAGAATAACAGAGTTGGAAGAGACCTCATGGGCCATCTAATCCAACCCCCTGCCATGTGGGAAAAGCACTATCAAAGCACTCCTGACAGATGGCCATCCATCCTCTGTTTAAAAGTTTCCAAGGAAGGTGCCTCCACTACACTCCAAGACAGGGAGTTCCACTGCTGAACAGCTCTCATGGTCAAGAAGTTCTTCCTAACGTTCAAGTGGAATCTCCTTTCCTGTCATTTGAACCCATTGCTCCAAGTCCTAGTATCCAGGGCAGCAAAAAACAAGCCAGCTCCCTCCTCCCTATGACTTCCCCTCACATACATCACGTCTCATCTCAACCTTCACTTCGGCAGGCTAAACATACCCAGCTCTTTAAGACACTCCTCATATGGATTCATGGTCTCCAGACCTTTGATAATTTTACTTGCCCTCTTCTGGACACATTCCAGCTTGTTAATATCCCTTTTAAACTGTGGTGCCCAAAATTGGACACAATATTCTAGGTGAGGCCGAACCTTAAGCAGAATAGAGGAGCCCCATGACTTCCCTTGATCTAGATCAGTGCTTCTCAACCTGTGGGTCCCCAGAGTTTTGGCCTTCAACTCCCAGAAATCCTAACAGCTGGTAATCTGGGTGGGATTTCTGGGAGTTGTAGGCCAAAACAACTGGGGACCCACGGATTGAGAACCACTGACCTAGACACTATATTTCTTTTGATGCAGCCCAAAATCCCATTGGCTTTTTAAATCTGCTGCATCACACTGTTGTCTCATGTTCAACTTATTGTCCACTAAGACTCCAATATCTTTTTCATATGTATCTCTGTTATCGAGCCAGGCATCATTCATTCTGTATCTTTGCATTTCATTTTTTTCTGCCCATGTTGATTAGACATGAGTAATACTGGTGGCGCAGTGGCTTAAACCACTAAGTTGCTGAATTTGCTAACCGAAAGGTCAGTGATTCAAATCCAAGGAGCAAAGTGAGCTTCTTCTGTTAGCCCAGCTCCTGCCAACCTAGCAGCTGGAAAACATGCAAATGTGAGTAGATCAATAGGTACCACTTCTGCAGGAAGGTAACAGCGCTCTATGCAGTCATGCCGGCCACATGATCTTGGAAGCGTCTATGGATAACGACAGCTCTTCGACTTAGAAATATACATGAGTACCACGCCGCAGAGTCAGACACGACTGGACTTTATGTCAAGGAGAAACCTTTACCTTTTTAATACTAGTGGTGAAGAAGGAAGATTATTTAATCTGCTCTCCTATTGAAATGACTTAGGGTTAAGGTCCTTCAATGTATTTAATAATCTGGTTAACTGTAGTGAGATTTAAGTACAGCAATCTTTCTCCTGAGACAAGACTAGCATCTAGATCTTGGTCTTCATCTTCATATTCTACAGTCAGAGTTACCAGCCTCTGAAATATGAATTATCTCAATTGCATCAAACTTTGACAAAGGAAAAAAGAGCTCTTGGGCTGATTATCAACACTGAAGGACGAACTGTGGGGACTGGAGAGAGCATCAATTCTTCCATCCACCCACTCCCCCATACATCCAATGGGGCAGGGTGAGGCAGTGAGCTGTCCAGACAGGATGGGGGCAATGAAGCAATGTGGCCTGGCCTCAAATGTTGGATTTAACCAACTGTATAGGAGTCTTGCAGGCCCTGATCCCTGAAGCCTGAACATTACAGGGAGGGCTCAAACCCTCAATTATACAATTCCCAGGCTACCCAAAGTGTTCTCTAGATGAGAACAAATTTTAATCATAAGTCTTATGAGGTAGGAGGTCTTACCATACCACTGCCACCACCAGTAACAACAGCAACCATTCCTCCTATTCCTGTTCTCCTTCCTCCTCCAACATCACCACCTCCTCCTTCCTCACTGCTTCCCTCCCTCCATAGACAGGTACAGCATAAAATACCTATCAAGCAAATACATGGCACTGCTAAGTTTTGCCATCTGACAATCTTGGACAACAGCTGGGGAAAGTGCTCAATTTTTCCTATTAATTCTGAATAACAAGGAAGGAACGGAAAAAGGTGTTTCTTACCCAGTGCTGAGGAAACTTCCCAACAATTACTGCAGGGCCAAAGGATCTAGCTGGATTCATGGAGCAGCTGGTGAAATAGCGCTAGAAGAAAGAATGGGCAAAATGGTGTGAGGAGAAATATCTCTTGTTGGGCCCCAGCTTTTTCCTTGTGTCTCTCTTAGCACCCTATTTAAAACAGGGCTTTGAAGGTTTTCCCCAAAGAAGGACTTCTTATAACTGGTTCTCATATCAAAATAAGTACACCTCCCTTAAGCACAGACACAGACCTGTGATACTGCACACTTTCCTAAAAGACACTACTTACTCATGGATGCTGGAAGGCACCAAGTGTCATTTTTGTGGCCCCTATGGTACCCTTTGTAGCCATACCAATGTTTCCCCCTTGCTTACTTGGGTCCCACATATCTTTACGCTTCTCCCAAAAGCTCACGTTCTCTGATCTGTGATGTGTGTTCTGGAAACATTGTTTTGTGTATTGCCTGATTGCTAAGGGATTCTTGTAGGTCCCCAAAATAAATTTTGCTAGCTTTGGCCTTGAGCAGTATGCTAAGGGATCCTTAAATCAGGGATTCTAATTCAGGAGTGGACAAACTTGAAGTTTATAGGGTCTACTTTGATTTTCACTAGCATCTCAAGATGCATGCCTAGTTGCAAAATGATGCCTTGGTTTGAGTGTGGGGCCGGCACTTGGGAGATCTGGATTTTAGTTCCCACTGCACGTAAAAACTTCCTCAGTGACCTTGGGCCAACCACTGTTTCTCAGATTTATTTACCTCACAGGAAACAACAGGAAAAAGTTAAGAAATCTTAAGCACTAAGACTGGAGTTTACATATACACATCTATTTCCCCACCAAGGTTTCTTGGTTTTCAGCAGCAAAACTTAAAGGCAGGGAAAGCCCTCATCCCAACCTGCCTCTCACTACTAGCAATCCAATAGCGAGGGGCAAATCACCCACAGCCCTTCCACACAGCCCTATATCCCAGAATATCAAGGCAGGAAATCCCACAATATCTGCTTTGAACTGGGTTATCTGAGTCCACAGTCAGGTAATGTGGGATTTCCTGCCTTGATATTCTGGGATATAGGGCTGTGTGGAAGGGTCCTGGGTGATTTGCCCCTCACAATTGGATTGTTAGTATTGAGAGGCAGGTTGGGATGAGGGCTTTCCCTGCTTTTATATCTATTAATTGTTTCTAAATATATGGGGACAAACGGCAACTTTTTAGCAGCAACTTTTTACATAACACTGTAATTACTACCATCCCTATTTAAACATCCTCACTTCCTTGGAATTCAAGAGAGTCCCACTTTCCTTGGTAAACATCCCTTTGCACATTTCCGATTCAAATTCTGATTTTATAGTTGTTTGGCATCAGAATCACAACAAAGAGCACTCTATAATTAGCATTCAAGCATCACTTAAGAAGAAAGGAAGGAAGGAAAGGAAGGAACTCAGTGAGAAGTTACTGAGGGCTTTAACTTGCACTTTCTCGGCCTCTGACTCTTCAGAGCCAACTGGAGAGAGTGCAGGAAAAACGACATCTTTCAAGAAAAGCTGTTATTCTAAGTATATCCTTTTGCATTAGTAGAAAGAGTGTATTCATGAAAGCATTTTCCTTCACTCTTAAGAGTCATAGAACCATAGAGTTGGAAGAGACCTCGTGAACCAGCCCCCTGCCAAGAAGCAGGAAAATCACATTCAAAGCACCCCTGACAGATGGCCACCAGCCTCTGTTTAAAAGCCTCCAAAGAAGGAGCCTCCACCACACTCCAGGGCAGAGAGTTCCACTGCTGAACAGCTCTCACAGTCAGGAAGTTCTTCCTAATGTTCAGGTGGAATCTCCTTTCTTGTAGTTTGAAGCCATTGTTCCGTCCTAGTCTCCAGGGCAGCAGAAAACAAGCTTGCTCCCTCCTCCCTATGACTTCCCCTCACATATTTATACATGGCCATCATGTCTCATCTAAGTCTTCTCTTCTGAAGGCTAAACATGCCCAGCTCTTTAAGCTGCTCCTCATAGGGCTTGTTTAGGTCATATTCAGCCAAGGTTAAAATAACGTAATCCTAAATAAAACTAGATAAATGTTCTTGTTCCATTCAAAAAGCAAATGGAGTTTGGATCTTGGATGTCCAAGGCAAGCTGGGAGTGTGGACCACCTCAGACTTCTTTACACCTGAACTTCCTTAAGTGAAGCTGGCTGGCTGGCTGCCTCCACTACACCTGGCCCCAGTGATGTCCTCTACTTACCCCAATTACTTGCCCCAGAGCAACAGATATGCCAATGATGATAGCAGGAGTGCCGGTGCTTCGCTGACTATCAGTGGATGCAAAGTAGCAGAGAACCAACTGCAGGGTCAAAATGAGCTCAACGGCGACAGCTTGTCCAGCAGAGATGTTGCTGCTGACCTGAGTTGTTGGAGGGGGGGGGGGACAAAATGGTGAAAGAAGTTTAAGCTTCATCCCTCAAAATACAAAAACAATGAACATTGGGATGTTTTCTGATTTCAGTGAGAAATCCATTGCAGGCTTAGTATTTTCCACAACCAGAAGAACCAGCAGGAAGCAACCTACTACCAAGCAAAGCACATCACTTCTACTTCTTTGCATCACTGTTTCCCAAAAACAGTATGGGACATTTTTTCACCCAATCTATTCCAATTTTTTCTGTGCCAGGAGTGACTTGAGAAACTGCAAGTCACTTCTGGTGTGAGAGCATTGATTGTCTGCAACGACATTGCCCAGGGGACGCTGGATGTTTTACCCTCCTTGTGGGAGGCTTCTCGCATGTCCCTGCATGGGGAGATGGAGCTCACAGAGGGAGCTCAACTCGCTCTCCCCAGATTCGAACCACTGAGCTATTGGTCAGCAGTCCTGCCAACACAAGGGTTTAACCCATTGCGCCACCAGGGACTCCTATCTATTCCATTGATTGGGAAAGACAAAACAAAAGTATCCCAAAGGCCAAAAAACTTTGGTTTGATTATGATGCTTTGTCCCGGTTGGGTATTCACATTATTTTGGCACATGATAGAAAATAAAAACAAATGTTCCCTGGCAGTAAAATATGATAACAAATTGTATGACAATTTGCACATGCAAAAATATCTGCTGTCCACATCTGGTGCATTGCGCTGCCTCAGGGCAACGTCCTTGCAGACGGCCAATTCTCTCACACTAGAAGTGACTTGCAGTAACTTCTGACATGACAAAAAAAAATGGTAAGGCTGGTCCTGTGAAGCAACCATAAACAAATCGAGATTGTTATGAAGGATATTCAAGCAAGACTTCAAGAAATAATTCTATATATTTTCAGATAAAAAGTGAGACACATGGGGCCCACATCATTGTGTAGTCAAGAGATCTAAGTAATGAATGAGGAAGAAGAAAAACAAACTGGGAGAAGCTGCAACAGTTTGCTTTTGCCAGAGCCCTTTGAGAAGAGCAAGACACCGGGCCCTATATCCCAGAATATCTGAGTGTGGATTCAGATAACCTAGTTCAAAGCAGGTATTGTGGGATTTTCTGCCTTGATATTCCTGAATAAAGGGTTGTGTGGAAGAAAATAGAAAAACATCATTTCTAGATTAATTCCATACCTCCTTTCCCTTCAGTTTCTTAGTTGACTTCAATGTAAAAGAAGAACTTTGCAAAACTCTAGATCATGGATAAAATGGATGCCAGCCTGATTGTTAAGAAAACAAGCTCCCTCTTGTCTCCTTCACCCAGCAAACGCTCACATCTCCAGGAGAAAAGAATGAGAAGGTGATGCAGCTGGGCTTGATGCAGGTGGGGGAAACACTGCCCATCTTCCTCAAGTGTTTTGGACTTCAGTTTCCATCAGCAGAGATGATGGAAAAGCAAAGTTTCCCCATGCCGGGGCTAAGCAGTGCTGTGAAAATGGTCTCGGTGTGTGTGCGCATCTGGCACACCTTTAAGGCAGAGGGAAAGGCTAGGTTGATCTTCTTGCCAAGATGAAACAAAGGGCAATTCACGGCTGTAAGTGTCTGGAAGTTCAACAAAGATCAATAGTATGACTCTTTATTTGAAAGGAGGAGCTGGATGAACCTGGTTGGTGCTAGGAAATCACAGCTCAGTAAACACAGTGATGGAGGGAGACGGAGGGCCTTTCCAAACAGCCCTCTATCCCAGAATATCAAGGCAGAAAATCCCACAATATCTGCTTTGAGCTGGGTTATCTGAATCCATACTCATATATCGTGGGATTTTCTGCCTTGATATTCTGGGATATAAGGCTGTGTGGAAGGGCCCTGGGTTATCTGAGTCCACATTGTCATATATCCCAATTCAAAGCAGATAATGTGAGGTTTTATTCAGCTGTGTGGAAGGGACCAGAGAGAGAGAAAGGGTTAAAAAATACTGCCTGTAGCTTCTTTCTAAAATAAGACAAATAGGAGAAAGATGGCCTAGAGATACAGGAAAGGATTGTAGGGGATTATAGATTAGGAATCGTGCAATAGAGAGAGTACTGTTAGCCAAAGGGAAGAACTTAATAGAGTTGTAAGAAGTCATGAATGGGTTAATCTGTGATCTAATTGTGTATTAATAAGCTTCTGCTTGTTTTATCCCTTTTTACAATCATGCCTGTCTGTTACTATTTCATTTTGAGAGAGGCTGGTCAGGCTTATCACAGTGAATCATTGAACAACACAGGTATTTATCCTTATTGGAATAGCTTTTCAGATTACTGAAAAACCTCCGGTGTAAGAGACCCCAGTGGCGCAATGAGTTAAACCCTTGTGCCAGCAGGACTGAACACCAACAGGTTGGGGGTTCAAATCAGGGGAGAGCATTGATGAGCTCCCTCTGTCAGCTCCAGCTCCCCATGAGGGGACATGATAGAAGCCTCCCACAAGGATGGTAAAACATCAAAACATCCGGGCATTTCCTGGGCAACGTCCTTGCAGACGTCCAATTCTTTCACACCAGAATTGACTTGCAGTTTCTCAAGTCACTCCTTACATACAAAAAAATTGAACAACACATGCATTCGTCCATATTGGGATCCCTTTTCAGATTGATCCTGAGGAGAAATGTGAGCCCAAGGGTTTGACCTGCAGGAGAAGAGTTTTGTTGCACCTTCCCACTTAAAAATGAACACAATTGGGCACAGACTTTTTTTAAAAAAGTGATGGAGTTAATTCCTATGACTTAATCTGCTATATCCTTAATTCACCCAAACAAGGAGAGGCAAGCTCTCCTGCTCAAACCTTTCACCACATAGTAAAGAGGTTTTTTTAAATCCATCAAGCACTTTATTTGTAAAGCTGAGGATTTTAAAGACTGGCCGTTCACTTTTAAGCTGATTCTACCTGCTGCACCTGTTTCTCTTTTATGGCTTTGTTGGGCTTTAAAAACATTTCAATCTTATTTTATTGTATTGCTACTGATAGAGTAATTTTATCGCATTGCATTGTCTTTTATTGTTTAGGGTTTTATTGCATTGTTGCATTGCATAAGTTATATGATTTTTCAGGTTATGTTTTCCATTATTTTAAGCTACACTATGCACTGTGAGTAAGCGGCAGGCATTGCCTTCAAACAAGTACACATTTTCCCATTTGAAAAGAAATTGATTTAGTTCTTTGTGCCCATCATACACATGCAAAGAACAGCACCAGAATTTCCGCATGGAAAGGAAGTCGAGAGGAATGAAAAGAAGACAAACATCAGAAAAGGAGACTACAGACGGAAATTATAGTATTCTTCAGTTGGAGGTGGGGGGGGGGCAACATGGGCACCAGATGTACCTCATGGAATGGATACCTGGCTGAATAATAGTTGGGCGGATATGCTATATACTGTAAGAGCTACTTCCAAAATATACTCCAAGAAACAGCTGATAGGGACACTATCACAGTTCTGTGTAGGATTCCCAGATATATGGGCCTATTCCTACATCTCAGGATGTGAATCTCTTTCTCCAGTCCTCAAGGTGAGATGGAGGAATCTCAGGTGGAGAGCACTGACTTGGGAAAATGTACATAGTTAACCTACTTGTGAAAGCATTTTTTTTTTTTGTCGTGTCAGGAGCAACTTGAGAAACTGCAAGTCGCTTCTGGTGTGAGAGAATTGGCCGTCTGCAAGGACGTTGCCCAGGGGACGCCCAGATGATTTGATGTTTTTATCATCCTTCTGGGAGGCTTCTCTCATGTCCCCGTATGAGGAGCTGGAGCTGATAGAGGGAGCTCATCCGCCTCTCCCTGGATTCGAACCTGTGACCTGTCGGTCTTCAGTCCTGCCGGCACAGGGGTTTAACCCACTGCACCACTGGGGGCTCCTTGTGAGAGCTGGTGTTTGATGTGTGTGTGGCATACTTGGGGCGGTTGTGGCTAATGCCCACATGAAACATTGCCACAATCTAACTTTTAATGTCACAAAGAGATCATCCCTAGGACACAGGTTGTGGGGCTGAAATATCAAGGCCTGGGCCGATCCCCAACTAAGATCCTATTTCTCAGAATATCAAGGCAGAAAATCCCACATTATCTGTGTGGACTCAGATAACCCAGTTCAAAGCCGATACTGTGGGATTTTCTGCCTTGATATTCTGGGATATAGGGCTGAGTGGAAGGGCCCTAGTAAGCCTATTCCTATGAAAACTTAGCTTGGAATAAGAAATCCCAGTGACAGGGAGTACACATATTAAGTATAAACATGGAATATACATATGTAGAGGCAATTAAACAACAGTCAAGCATGCTGCAGAAAGCATTTGGTTATTTGTAATTCGAGGTTAAGGAAGCAATCTGGTTTTCTATTTCCTAAACCAAGAAATAACACACCCTAGCTAAACGGACTGGATCATCCACAACAGGTTATAATCTCCCCTGTTTTCACATAATCCACCATGATCTCACACTTATACACAATACATTTCAGAAAAGGAAGAGAGTTCACATATGCAACAAGGCCCCAGTCTTACATATTTACATCTCTCGTTTCCCTCTTTCATGGGCTTCACCTAGAAAGCAATAGGTCAGTCAATTTCCCCTTTGTGACAACAGGGCTTTGGGTGAGCAAAGAAATTGCATTACATAGAAGTAGAAAGCAAGCATTAACAGCCATTTCAGTCTGGTAATTCTTTCTTTCATTTCCTGATTTTGATAAATCAGCGAAGCATGCATCTACACACTATGTTTACGTTACCTATCTACAGTGATGGAGCACCATAGTAGTGCAATGGTTTGAGTGCTGAACTAGCGTCCCTTCCACACAGCTGAATAAAATCCCACATTTTCTGATTTGAAACTAGAAAATAAGGCAGGGACTTAGAAGGTGCTGAACAGACTGTGCTCTGGCACCACGAGATGCAGAGCCAACCTTCAGAAATGGGGCCACAAAGTGGAAAGGAGTGGAAAGGAGCAAACCACTGACCACCTGTTGCAATGCAACCTGAGCCCTGCCACATGCACAATGGAGGACCTTCTTGCAGCAACACCAGAAGCACTCCAAGTGGCCAGATACTGGTCAAAGGACATTTAATCAACTACCAAACTCACAAATTTTGTATTTTTTTCTGTTTGTTTGCTTTGCTCTGTTAGAAATGTAATATAATTGACTGGTTGCCCTGACACGACAAATAAATAAATGGCAGAAAATCCCACAATATCTGCTTTGAACGGGGTTATCTGAGTCCACGCTCAAATAATGTGGAATTTTCTCCCTTGATATTCTGGGAAATAGGGCTGTGTGGAAGGGCCCTGAGTCCTCATTGCCATATATTCCAGTTCAAAGCAGAAATGTGGGATTGTATTCAGCTTTATGGAAGGTGCCCCTGTTCAAAGCAGATATTGTGGGATTTTCTGCCATGATATTCTGGGATATAAGGCTGTGTAGAAGGTCCGTACTAGGACTCTTGGAGGCCAGGGTTCAAATCTCAACTCAGCCATTAAAGCCCTCTGAGTGACCTTGGGCAAGGCACATTCTCTCAGCCTCAGAGGAGGGTGATGGCAAACCTCTTTGAACAAATAATGTCTAGAACACTCTGTAATACTTCAGTTCACCTTAAATCAGAAATGATTTGAAAGCATGCAACAACAATGGCAGTGAGATTTCTGTCACTCTACAAGGTTTTTCTGTGCTCTTTAAAACTGATTTGATCCTTATCACACATGCTTCCAATTGCTAAAATAAAACAGAGCAGACAAAACCAACATGTATTTGTTAAATGCTTAAAACCTCTGCTGTTTCATCCCTGCCTGATAGGACACTTTATAGATATATTCATTTGTAGCTTTTCCGGTTCTGTAAGCCTGCACCATCCCTCTGTGCAAACAATTGTGATAAATATTATACCTTATATTTCAAAGTTCTTATGTAAACTAGACACTGGATTAGTTGTTTCTGAGTGCCAAGCGAGGCTTAACTGAGCCTTTACTGGCCTAGCCTGGTATCCAAACAGAAGAACTTCATTTGGAAACTTCAGCTCAAAGCACAGCTGAGCCAAAATAATGAAGTTTGACTCCCTGTTCTGCCTATCACAGAAAATGGTCTTTGCAGCCATCTTTGCTGTCAGTGCGGCACACTACCTGAATGCTAACCAGCTTTCAGTGATCTCTTGTCAGTTCTTAAGAAGTCCTGCCACGGGATGGCAACCCACGCAGATTTAAGAGTTCTTAGTATTCTTAGAGTTCAGAATCCTAGGGCTGGAAGGGATCCCGAGGGACATTTTTAGATCATTTCCAATACCTATTTCATTATATAACAATTCAGTACACATTCATCTGTGTCCTGTCACACTATCACTCTTCTTCTGCCCCTCCCAATTGTTTGCAAAATTTTAAAACATAAGCTCTTATAGGCATTGATGTTCCTTTTTGGTCTTATTCTACAATAGTCTTCCCCAAGATAACATCATCCAAATGGGCAGAAGTACAACTCTGATTATCTCCAGCCAATAAAGAATTTCCTCACATCTTGATGGTGTTACATAAATATACAATCAAGCATATCTTGTTTTGCAACATCTTTTAGCTTGATACACTCTGAAGTAAAGGAATGCCAGTGTGCCTGTCCCATCTGTGACTGCTATAACTATCTCAAGGCAAAGGATCTGCCGTGGTATATTATTATTACACCCTCCTCTGCTCACTCCATTTCCAGCTACAGAAGGAGATGACACAAATCTAAATCTCTCCCCACCCCTACCCCTGATATCTTGCTTCAAATATAAACCGACACACTTATTAGGTGAATCTGCCACCTACTGACTGAAGCTGGTACAGCAGGTTTCAATCACAGCAACTTATTTAAAGTAATCTAAATTGATGAATGTGCTTTTAAAATCAAATAACCACCAAGTGTGGATCTCTCAATTCCTCTAAGCAGATTCTCATGCCTCAGATATCTGGGTTTCTGGTGCTAGAACAAAGGCACTAGCAAGCACATATAAAGACTTCATTACTAGAGGAAATACTGAGATCTAAGAAAGAAAAGCAGGACTACCATCTACACTTGTTCAAAGTTTGGAAACTCCAGTTGATTCAAAATGCAGCAGCCAAACTAGTTACAGGAACATCTAGGAGTGAGCATATTGCACCTATCTTAAAGTCACTCCACTAGTTGCCAATTAGTTTCCAGGCAAAGTATTGAGTGTTGGGTTTGAGCTTTAAAGCCCTACATGGTTTGGGTCCAGGTTACCTATAGAATTGCCTTCTCCCTTACAATCCATCCCGAACATCTTCTCCAGCCTTCCAGTATCCGACTAGTGACTGTCACCCAGAGGACCTTTTCATCGGCCACCCCAAGACTGTAGAATGACCTGCCAGTAGAGCTTTAACAGCTAGATCAGCTGCTGGAATTTAAGACACAAGTGAAAACCTATCTCTTCCAGCAGGCCTACCCAGACAGTTTTAATGACGAATTTTAAACTTCCACTCTATAACTAACTTTTATTTTGTGCATTTTAATATGTATTTTATGGAAATACGTTTTAATATATGTATTCTATGGAGTGTTTTAAAATGATTATGTGTTTTGATTATGTGTTTTAGAAATGTTGTAACCTGTCTTGAGCCATGAGGAGAGGCAGGTAAGAAATAAAATTATTATTAATATTATTATTATTATTTTACACTTTACAGTAGTCACATTGGAGTTGCTTGTGATGTGGCACCTACTTCTTGTGACACAGAGGTAACTGCTCTCTCTTCCTTTTACAGCCTTCCTATTCTGCCCAATAGACTTATCCTCCACTTCCCACTTCAGCCAACTACTTCCCTTTCTCAGTATTACTGTGTGCCCTCTCTTTCCGAGAACAAAAGAGACCCAAGATGAATGCAGATCACACACTTTTCTTACAAACTTCCTACAGAAGTTGCTCCTACCAGTGATGGATAAAAGAGGCTTTCCAAATCTGGCCATCATCAGGAATGTAAACCTACAGCTCCCATCCTCCTTATACAGCATATTTGCGGCTGTGGGAAATCCAGGGAGCATCAAGTTTTGATGCTACACTAGAGTCAAAGCCTTTCATAAAGGTCATTAGTGTCTTTTACTTTTACCTAATGCTTTTACTTTTACTTCATGCTACTCGATTCTTAAAGACTAGCTCCCAAACTTGGTTCCCTGGTTTTATTTGTATTAATGTTGATGTTAATGTTGATGTTTGATGAGTTGGTTGTATTAATGTTGATGTTAATGTTGATGTTTTGATGAGTTGTTTTTTGATAATGACGAATTGTGGATTTTTTACACCATGTCTTGTATTTTGCACCTGTTTTTCTATGTTGTACACCGCAATGAGTCACCCTTGGGCTGAGAATTGCGGTATATAAGCGTAGTAAATAAATAAATAAATAAATAAATAAATAAATATTTGGACAACAACTCCAAGAATCCCTCATCATTGGTCATGCTGGCAGGGACTTCTGGGAGCTGAAATCCAACAACATCTGGGAACCCATGATTTGGAATCATTGCTCAGAGCTTGGGGAGAAATAATTCCTAGGGATTTTAGGAGATGTAGATCAACAGGTTATTTGTTTTACCCACGCTTTGGCTTCAACCTATGATGAAAGCATATTGGAAATATGTCAGAGCAAGTTTACTGTACCACCTTTGCCAACAGTAATACAAATTCTGAGACAGAAAAAGGACATACCATGTTGATGCCTAAATTTCCCCGGACGGTAGCTGGAGTGACTGCATACAGGATAGCTGCCCCAAGAATCCCTCCAGCCAGCTGGGCAACTATGTAGCAGATGGCCTTCACCAGGGAAATGCGAGAGCCCAGGAGGAAGGCCAATGTCACTGCTGGGTTGATGTAGGCCCCACTGGCATGCCAGGCAATCTGGACGGTGGTGGCTGCAACCAGGTTGAAGGTGATGGCGCTCTGCAGGATGGACGGGGGCTCCGGCCAGTTCAGCACAGAGCCCACACCGAAGAAGACGTAGATGGCGGTGACCAGAAGCTCTGTGAAGACACCCCGGTAGAAGGGTATTGAAAGCAGTTCCCTCCACATCCTTGCCAGGAGCTAAGCAGGAGCAACCTTTGTGTGTGAGTGTGTATATATGTGCCTTGCTGCCTCTGTCTTGTGGCTTCTTTGGCTGGGTGAGGGCCAAGAAAGGGAAATAGTATTTAAATTAGTAAGATTGCCACACTGGGCTGGACCAGGAAGCTTATGAGATACGGATGCAGGGGCATTTCCTACCCAGCTCCTTCCGGTCATTCCTGACAGAGATGGCCATACTGGGAAAGTTGTGGACCCACAAGAAATATCAATGGGTGCTTTCCTAGGATTCACTCCTAACTCCACTGTCTTGGGGTGGGGTTTGGGGGGTAAAGTAAGAGGTCGCTTATCCAGAAAGGCTACAAAGACTGGCAAGCACACACCTTCCCTTTTCATAAGACGTTGATCTCAGAGGCTGAGATATGGGTAGGTGTGTCTTCAGAAGAAGTTCTAGTTTGAACCAGGAAGTCCCCAATTCAAACCTCATTTCCAGTCATGAGTTTGTCAAGTGAAGATGACTGCTTTTCTCCCCCACATTTCAAAATATCCTTTATTGTGAAGGACCCACTGCTACTTACTTCATTTTTTAAAAAAGGCATTTCCTTCTGTGGCTTTGGACATTTTTAGATATAGATAAACATACCTTTCAGCACACCACAAACAGCTGCTTTTGACAGTATCAAAAACTGTGATAGATACACTGGCTGTTTGAACAACAATGATTTTTTAAAAAAAATACAATCCAAAGCTTCACTTCACAGAGAGGACTGAGTCACACAAATAGCTTTATGGCTCCATAATGTTTCATCAACACAAAATAGATTTCTTCCTGGCCATGGGAACCTCCGCTGGCAGTTTGTGGGTTTATGTCCCTTTCACAGTTGTGTAGAAGAGATATTTTAGCAGGCATTTATGTCCTTTCCACAGTTGTGTAGAAGAGGAATTTTAGCAGGCATTTGTGTTGCTGTTACCTGGTTGCATGACAAGCCACACCTGCTGACATTCTCTCTTCTATCCAGCCGCGAAAGGGAGAGAAGCCCTCTCCAGTTTTCACTTTGGCAAACCTACACGAGATTCAGTCAAAGACGGAAACAAAAGGCCTTTGTCAGAAACAGTGGTTCCTGATGTATTTTTAACTATGTTTTTTAACTTGCTTTAATGAAGACTTTGTTTTAACATGTGTTTTATCCATGTTGACAGCTGTCTTTAAGTGAAAAGAAGGAAAACGCAGTATATAGAGAGCAAATGAAAAGAGATTGCTTGACAGGTCTGGCCTGTGATGAAAAAGAGGAACATCTGTTAGCATTGTGGCTGCTTGCTTAACCCTTCCTTTGCAATGCAGACCAACCAGGGCTTGATATTAAGCTTGTGCAGATGAGTGAAAAGTCTTTCTGTGGCACCTTCTGGATCTTACTAGGATGGTTCTTCGTTGCTTTATTTGTTCCTTTGGCAAACCTTTTACCCTGGCTGATGCCTAGTTTTGTATTTGCTGCATTTAAAAAAATGTTTAGGTAAGGATTCTCCTAGGCAGTAAGAAGCCAGACCCTGAAACTGCTGGGCCATTAAATGTTAATCAAGGTAGCCAGTTGAAACATTAACACTTACCTCAAACAGATGAGAGTTCTTTCTCCCACCCTGGATCTTCCACAGATATATAAACCCCACTTGCCTGGTTTCCAACAGACCTCACAACCTCTGAGGATGCCTGCCATAGATGTGGGCAAAATGCCAGGAGAAAATACTTCTGGAACATGGCCATACAGTTCGGAAAACTCACAACAACCCAGTGTAAGTGAGCTTGGGGCATTTCTTTTCTCATTGGAAAAGAGCAAGATAAATCTCTGTGCTTTCCATGCACTCCAACATTTCACAGATGAAGATGAGGACAAGATCATTAATGTGGGAGAACACGAGTGTCTGGAGAGGCTGAACCAGTTTGCTCTCTTCCTGAGCAAAGGACAAGCAAGGGCAAAACTCCACCCGCTCCTCTCCTCCCTCCTGAATTAACTGAGTGCAAACATCTTTTGTATTTTCAACCCAGTTTGCAGCAATTGACATAAGCTGAAGACAAAAAGGGGAAACTGGGAGGAGGAGAGAGAAACTGGGACATTTCAAAAGCATCTGGAAAAGTTGGGATGACAGAGGATTAATTGGGACTGCCCCTGCCAAGCCCAGGCAGTTGGAAGGTGTGGCCTTATTCATCCGAGAACAAAGCAGCCACTGGTTCCTTTGCCATAATAGAATGTCCTGGCACAAGAACGCTGAAACCGAAAGGATCCTACCTCCAAACCCAAGTTTAGTCTCTCTTTTTTTGTATGCAAAAAGGGATGTGTAATGAACTTTGCTTTGCAAAACTGAGTCATGGGAATACAACTGCGTTAGTTTAATTATTATGTGATCACTTTGCTTTGGTTAAAGGAAATGTTTTGCAGAAGGGGGAAATTCCAGAAGAACAGCTTTTTTGCACAGATGGTTAAGCTACACCTGTCTTCCTTTTCATTTGTGAACACTAAAAGCTTCTTTATACACAAAACAACAATTGCTTCATAATGTTTAGTACCATCTGCATTGACTGGTGGTGCCTTTCCAGGATTTCAGGCAGTACTGTTCCCAGTTCCCACCACTTCCACGAGGGATCAAGCCTAAGCCTTCCTACAGCTATATGTCCCAATTCTTTTTGGTATTTTTTGTAGCCCAATGTGAACATTTAGTTACCTTTCTTTCATATCAAAACTTGATATAATTAAATGAAGAAAGTTCAGTACACACAGATATCAGTAAGTGGAATAAATGGGTTGTTGTTGAAACTAAAGATTGTGTAGGCAAATCTACATTAGAGTAGCGAATTAAACTTTTGTACAAGTTACATTTTTATTTCTTCAAGGAAGTCAATGAAGTCAATGAAATTCATTCTGGATTCATTTGTGTCAGCTCAATCAGACACTTAGATGCCAAACAGCTCCAACTTTATGCTTCAAATTCAACCAGAAAGTCATCTTCCTTTTGTAAGAATCCTAGATTCATTCTTCTACCTCAAGGGTGGGGATTGTTTGCTCCTCTAGATGTAGTTGGACTACAGTTCCCATCAGCCTCAGTCATCACAGCCAATGGTGAAAAATTCTGTGAGTTGCACTTCAACATAAACATTTTGAGTCCACCCCTGCATAACTGGTGTTGCCTTTGAAAACTGTACCAGATCAGGTTATTATTTACCCCAGTATTGTAATGGATAGGCTTCCCCAACCCAAATATGTCAAACATAGCTCTTGTCACTTCTGCTAGCCATGCTGTCTGTACATCTGTAAGGATCTGGAGTGAACAAAGTGACATAATGTGCTGGCAGGGCTGAAGAACAACAGACCACAGGTTTGAATCCGGGGAGAGCGCGGATGAGCTCTATCAGCTTCAGCTCCCCATTGCAGGGACATGAGAAAAGCCTCCCACAAGGATGACAAACAGGATGGTAAAACATCTGGGTGTCCCCTGGGCAACATCCTTGCAGACGGCCAATTCTCTTACACCAGAACTGACTTGCAGTTTCTCAAGTTGCTCCTGACATGAAAAAAACCCTTATGTTTGCTTTAGCAAAATCTCTTTCCCCGTGAAAACCACACTCTGGTTCCTCCTGGTTAACCTTTCTCCCTTGCTGACTCATACATGCAAATCAACAAATCCTTGGTTTGCCGAAAGGAGGTAAAACTCTACCAGCCTCTCTGTTTCTGTTCACACAAGCATAGACAGGGTTAAAGATTTAGAGACTCCTTTGCCAGAAAGACAAGGTGCTGAGATTTGATGGATGGCTCCTGCCTAAAATTTAATACTGTTGCTAAAGAGGAACAGAAAAGATTAACAGCCTGCTCTTAGGCAGGGTTAGACATAGCTCAGTCTACTGAAATTCAAGGGAGCAGATACTCATAACTTTGCATACAAATGGCTTCCATGTCCATGGGCTAGTGAATCCCCGCTAGATTTTAGTCTGAACTTTAAGGTGATGAATCCTATCCCCAAAATAAGTTCAGCAGCTTAAAGACCCCCTTTGAGGGTCAGGCTAAAATCCAGAGTGGCATAGGACGGGGCTGCACTTGTGGGTGCTTTGCTCAGTTCTCTCTTCCCTAGCTGTATAGAACAAACTGTCATAAATCACAATGGGCAAATTCTTTCAAAGTAAACCCATTCCCCAACCCAAATATGTCAGACCATAGCTCTTGTCACTTCAACCCAACCAACCTAGTAAGCAATGCCAGTCTCCCAGGACTGCTCTATTAAACAATTTTGCAGAATTTCAGCATGCTTTGTGGCATCAGCCATGTAATATTGACAAATACAGTCTGACAAGAGTGCTATGAATTGCCTTGTTCCAGCCACATAAAATTACAGTTTCCAGGGCTCTTTATAGAAAGGAAAGCCCTGTTACAGCAACTTAAGTCTACAGTGTAGAAAAGATAAGCCACCTGCCATTTCCCAATCTAGTCACTTAGTTGTCACCATTGTCTGTATTTGGGGACTTTGTGGTATGCAACATGGTTATCTACAAAACCTTCCTTTCTAGGGAGTGTGTCTCACCATAAAAACCCCAGGAGCATTTAACTAAAGCTGTGGCTTCTTTTCCACTAGGATCAACTGGGATCCAATTGGAAAAAGCCAGGCAACAAAATCAGACAATTTTAATAGGCATAATCAGTTTTTACAAAACCAAAAATACTTGTTGCCAGTATCCTATTCCCTTGGTGCTGTTCCTCAGGCAAGAAGAAAACAGTACGTAAAATAATTTCTTCCTTAGGAAGTTTTGAAACCTGGGAAATTGATGGTTTGTAAGCAGATCTGTTGCTTTCACACATTGGCACCAACCAACCACTGTAAAGATCTGAAAGACTTGCATAACCTTACGCAGCCTTTTGATGATTTAATGAGAGGGTCATGATTGGCATCTTTCTGAGATTGCATTTTATCCTAACTCCCACAATGGTATAAATATGCCTGATACTTAAGGACTGAATTCTACTTGTAACTGCAATTGAAGAAGAAGGGTTTATGTCCACAAAAACTCATGCAAAAACAAGAAACCAGTTCATAAAATCC